GAAGAGTTTTTTCAAAGAAACTCACAATGTGTCCTCGCAATTTTTCGCTCGACGCTAAAATCTCAATACTGTCGATTTTTACACTGTGCAAAATATTTGTCGCTATACGAATTAAATATTTTTCGACTTTACCACGTCAAGTCGAGGACAATTCAATATTAATTTCCAGAAATTAGCTCAAAAACCACAATTTGAAAAAGGTTCGTTTAAAAAATCTCTGCAATAATAATCTCTGTAATTTTTATAATAGAACTAAAAGTGCAAGAGAACAGAAATTGCAGTGTAATTCAAAGGATCTAATAGCGTTAAAAATGTCTCCAAGTCCCGTTCGGAATTCCTGTAATAATTTTCCGGAATAAATTTCGTTTAATAATCGTAAGTGCAATGGGATAGAAATTCGAGTGAGCAGGGAGCGTTAGAAGGCAACGTAATCGGGGGTATCGGTTATTCGATCGGTGCTCATGCCTGGCGTCCGTGCAGGCTCGCAATTGCGGCTCGTTATCGAGCTGCACGCCCGATAGCCGTGAAACAGGCCTCATAAAAAACGGCAGTTAGCAACGAATTACGAGATAAAGCTGGTCGCGGGATCGCCGATGCGGTTTCAATCTCCGTCCGCAAATTCTTCAAACTCTAACACCCTCGCTGAAAACCCATCTTTCATCTTCTCGCACCTCTTTTAACCCTTTCAGCCCTCTCCAACAAATCAAAAACACAGACTCCTTACTTCATTTTCGTTATCATGCTTAACAGTTGCTGGTATTAAACATTTTTTTTTAATAACATAGAAAAATCTGCAGAAATGTGCGATATTATACATAGGGTGTCTCACAAATAAATTTCAACGATTAAATTAATTTCACACTAAGGAGACAAGTTGAGGATCTCCTTTTAATTTTACAACTGCCATAAGTGTCTTCTAGGCATTGAGTTAACTAAAATCAGTACTCTACAATTCTCTCAATAATACCAACTTTCTACAACTTCTTCATGTATTCCGGACACATGAGTCAATTTATTCCAAAATCTGCATTTGCATTTGAAGGAGTCGTTCAATGTTCATACACGCACTTCCTTCGTGCTCGATACTAGGCCAAACGCTTTCCCTCGTGACACTTGTAAATCAAAATTCTACCACACCCGTACACAATTTCCTGTTCGTATACGTGTAATTGCCAAGGTCTCCGACCTTTTTCCTCTTAGTGAAATTTGTTCAAATTGTCGTGGACGTGATTCGGCGGTTTGGTCGTGGAAATCGTGGAAATTCGTGCTTTAATAATTTGGCGAAAGTAGCCAGGCGATCATGTACGGCCCTGTGACGCGCCGCATGCCGCATTCCGCATCGTATGCATCGCTACACGGATGTACAGGCGCCGCAGGAGCCGCAAATGTGGTCCTCCACCCTCTGCATCCGCGACGATCCCCGTGCAATAACATCTTATCGGTGTAATCGGCCTCGAATAAATATCCCCCGGATTAATAGGGAACACCCCACATTTCACCTATATTCCCCCTCGTTTCTGTTCGATGCAAATTGAAAATCAGTTGCAGCCTTTTTGGGCGTTTTTTAACCCCCTTACGCTCGTGCCCGATAAATGCAATTCTTTTCTTCCACTTTCTGCAATGTGTTTTTGGGTGTTTTTTAACCCCTTAACTCTCGTGCCCAATAAGTGAAATTTTTTTAAATTATTTCTTTCACCTTCCACACATTGTCATCCTCTCTATTATGGCAAAAACCCAAGTTACAGCATTATACATAAAGAAGAAATTTATTTCTGTACGCCTAGGAAAAAAAATTGATCATTTTGGGCATATTGAGAACAATTTGAGCGTCAGAGTTAACAAAAAGAAAAAAAGAATAAGCTACATCAAGTATTACCATTGCACTGCACTGATATATACTACAGTAAGAATTATAGCTTTCGTACGAGTTGCTATCTTAACCCCTTGATTTATAATTTTTCCACCGCCTATGCATGCATACTTATTCAATTACCCTCGTATCACAAGTAGAGAACTATCAACATTCCTGCCTATCCTAGCACTTTGGTCATTTTGTAAAAATGATCGCGAGGTGTAAAACCAGCTGTTCTTATAGACGGTAAAGTGAACCGGTGGCGATAAATAAAGCGCGTAAGTGGTGTACAATTAAAGAGCATAAAGCTGTCCGCGGCTGCTACGATCTGCAATTAAGAATTTTGTCATTGGACACGCCGCGACGGGGAGGAGGCTGCAGGTATAATTTGCCCCATAAATAATTCATACCCCGGATGTTTCGCGCGCGGCGATCCCCCGCCATTATGGCAGCTTCGGGCCAGGTGAGGGGTTGCCCGATGAATTATGAATATTCAGCGGAGTTCGCACGTTGTATGTTGCACGCTCTTGCCCCGGTATTAATTCCCCTGATACACGCGAGATTCGGAATTCCCTTCAATCGAATTTCTCCGTCGGCCTTCTTGCCGCCGTAAATGGCGCGCAACGTCGTTTGCAGGAAATGTACATTGTAAAAAGAAAAACGAAAAAATAATAAGATTCAAGGTCGTTGAATAAAGCTCCACAGTGTGCAATTTTCATATCAAGAAACTTGTAATGTCGAGTCAGATTTCTAGGTCCATTTTCGACTTATTTTTCCACGTAAATTCGCACGTATCACGTAGCATAGATGTATAGAGTGTTGCAAACTTCATGAGCATGTAGTGCCCGTAAAAACAGATAAAAAAGTTTTAATGAACACGGGTACAGAAATCGTTAGTTCCAGAGTTACAGAACGCGTAAGTTACGAGGATTCGCTCGCTGTAACAAGTGTTACACGCTCGTAATTGAAGACGTCCTGTAACTCTGAAATTAATGATTTTTGCACCCATGTTTATTACAACTTTTTCCTTTGTTTTTACTACGTGCTCCTAAATTTTGGCTGAAACTATTTTCAACACCCGGTACATGGAATGCAAGAACGCACGTGATCGCAGAAACCTCTATAAATGGGATAAAAGAGGGGTTTTACGTATAAAAATTTTAATACTAAGATGGTACAGGTATGATAAAGCAAACGTGCACGTTAGAAGGGAGTTATTGCGAAAGAAAAAGTAGCAACTGTCGCGTTAGGTTAATTTAAAAGTGACAAATGACAAAGGTAATAACATTTCGCTCAAATGAAATACAACCTCGAGCATGTCAGATTTCTATTTCATCCGCGCTTTAATTCAATCCCGTCCGACTTTATTATTCCCTGCGCCAACCCGACACTGCATTATCATCTTGTCCGTTTCAATTGATCGACTTTAATCCCCTCATATTACGCGAAATCGCCGATCACCGTATAATTGTTTACATCCAACCAACTAATTGAAACGCGCCAATGATGGAATATCGATTCTCCCGTATCTGACTATCCGTTTTTCCTCGAATTCGTAACTCGTTACACGCCCGATGCATTCATTCGTTCACCGATAATAATTATCAACAGAAATGCCAATTATATTCGTTAACCTCTTCAAGTACACTGACACATGTACGTTTAATTTTTTTTTTTTTTTTTTAATTCCAATATCTGCCAGAGGAGAAATGTAAAAATATGTCGGGTGACTGACAAGTAACACAGTTTAATTCCTGTCGACTTCAAATTAATAAATGACAGCTACATGAAAAATTGGGTCACTTTTTTCTAACTTTAATCCTTTCGTCGCCAAATTATTATTTTTAGAGAACTTCTTACACGTGCGTATTTTACACCGAGAGAAAAAAGGTTAAAAAAATAATCTCCCAAGAGATCAAAGCGAAAATTAACCAACACGAGATATTTTCAATAACGTAATTTTAATATTTGACAATCTTCCATAACATAATTTTAATATTCCAACATTTTCAACGACATAATTTTAATATTCCGACATTTTCAACGACACAATTTTCATATTCCACCATTTCCAATGACATAAACTCTACACGGAAACAATTATTATAACAAACGATAGGTACAAGGTAAAAGTTTGTTCTCGCTTGTCAAACGAATAGGAAGCCAGAGGAAATAGGGGAATCGAGTAACCGCGGATATTAGTTCTCGTTAACTGGCTGTCTAGGGAATTGGAAATTTATCGGGAAACGAGGTGAGGGCCAGAGATCGTGGGTACGGTTCCGCGATCCTGATAGTTTTCGCGTTTCCGCGGAGGATTCGGCGTACAAGTTGACAACACCACCAGCACGGATAGAAGTTGGACGTGGCGTGGCTGAACTTCAAGTTGCGTCCAAGTTTAGCTCGGTCGCGTTATATGCACGTGCATGCCGGTGTAAACAGGGCCAACTTGCTGCATACTAAACGGACGTACATCATTGTACGCGATTCCACTTCTGTCCCTATTGTATTCTCTCTACTCGATCTACATATACATATATGTATATGAGAGATTTTCCTTCCCGGAAAATTGCCACACCGCTCACTCTTCATTCAAAACTATTTAACCCCTTGTCGTACGATTTTTTACACAAGGTTAATTGAAGCTAAGAGCAAGTTAATTCGTGTAACGGGGTGTTGAGATAATTTTCGAAGAACATCGTCGCTCGTAAGTACGGTAATTCAGAAAAATTCTGGGGATTTAAATTTAATAATTCATTACGATGAAATGGAAGACGATAAAAAGGAAAACATGATAGTTCCATAAGGTGTCAATCCTGCTGAGTGTTTAAAAAAAGAATTTCAGTATGTAAATGATTTGAGCAATCTGAGACTTTTCTATTTCAAGTTTCACAATTCATTACGATGAAATGAAAGACGATAAAAAGGAAAACATGATAGTTCCATAAGGTGTCAATCCTGCTGAGTGTTAAAAAAAAAAATTTCAGTATATAAATGATTTGGGCAATCTGAGACTTTTCTACGATTTCAAGTTTCACAATTCATTACGATGAAATGAAAGACGATAAAAAGGAAAACATGATAGTTCCATAAGGTGTCAATCCTGCTGAGTGTTTAAAAAAAGAATTTCAGTATGTAAATGATTTTGGCAATGGGTAACTTTCGTCACTGAAACTTTATTCACCGACACGATAAATTTTCTCAAATACGAGTCACCAGACGAGTGAACATTTTAACTTCTTCCTTTTCTTTATTCATACGTGTGAGAAATTTTTCCCAACAATCCCCGACTTGTTGCTCGAAACAAAGAGTATTGTGAGCAAATGTATGCTTAAACACTTATGAGCGGCAGAGTGAATGTAAATGGTAATAGAAATGATACCGTAGAACGAGCATGTTTAAACTTTCTAGAACACGAGTGAACACTGCGAATAACTTCCACTACATCGTTATCCCTCTTTTTTTCCAGGTGTTCAAAGAACCCTGCACGTTCTCCACAATTCCGAGCAACCAGCATCGGCGTTCGCCATTCTCGAGTCGGGCAACAAGGTAGTTCCGCTGATAGCCGACGGTCTATTCGATCTCCTCATGTACAAGATCTCCAGCATCTACACGAACAAGATGCAGAAGATGGAGTCCAAAGGGCCGCGATTCGAGATCGGTGACTTTTGCGTGAAACTGGGCAGCGTGACGATTAATCAGAATTTCAAAGGAGTCCTCGTCGAGGTGAGTACCTCTGTTAAAACTATAATCAATCATAAGTACGACGAGAGATAGAGCTAATTAGACCAGAGAAATAATGCAAGATTGGAGAAAAAAGTGAACCTAAAAGGCGTACACCCTTTCGTTTCACCGCTACGAGGAACACACTTTTGGAGAAGTTTTCAAACAGAGAGGCAGAAATAGGTGGAGAAAAGTTTGGTCGGAGATGATAATCGGTTGAATTAATAATCGCGGCAGATGTTTGGCCCTGGTGATTTTCGCGAAACTCGTTAGCCGATCCCGAGGGATCACGCCAGCTAATTAACTCGCGATTAAACTTGGAAACTGGCTGGAATAGCCTGGGCGCTACTTCCTTCACGTTCACGTGACCGCCTCGCGATTATCGATTGACAGTTTGGTCCAACGTTCGAGGATTCGCATGGTGCACGCGTGGATCCTCTCTCTGTGTTGGTTACGAATGCTAAATTAATCAAACCTCTCCCTCTCTGTCTCTCTTGGGAAATTATGCGTTACGGAGGTAATGAGAAAAACTGGAGAATTTTAATGTGTACGTATATGAGAATTATCTCTCGATAGGTGAAGATTAGGGAGGTGAAACTTGGAATAATTTGAATAATTGGAATATTCAATTTCAGATTGCACATTTGGAATATTCGTATAAGCAAGTTGCACGATATTCAACTATTCCATGTTGAAATTCGAATTCTACCAGTATTCAAATGTTCCAATATTCTCTCGTTCACTTGGTTGAATTTAGCAACTCGAATGGCGACTGAGAAACGACATTGACAGATATGCTACGATGCAACAGAGTACCCATAGACCTAGATCTCTCACACATCTGGTGAATCGTTTCACACTGAGTTTTTTAGGCCAACTATCCGTATTACGAAATGTATCAATTCGTTTAAATCGTATCAATAGACTAGCATCTTACAAAACCTAACCCAACCTATATTCAAATGAAATCAGACCGACCAGTATCAACAATGCCTTAAAATCCCATGGAAATGTAAATCGAGGACGCTCCTCTGCGCTGTGATTCCAGTAAAAATTCCAACAGTCCTCCAATTGTTCAACGAAACAATTACCGAAGCTGGCCATTTAAGAGGTCATTCCGTGCAACGAGCGCGTTACTACCATCTGGCTTTTTCCCATTGCCACAAGCAACAACTATTCCCCCCGGTATCGTCGTCACGAGTTTTAAACGCGAGAATGTTTCTCGGTCAGTTGGTGTCGCCGCGACAATGGTGTAACTTCCGTTCTACAAGCTGGCAACTAGCGGGCGCGGAGGAATGCGGCGTCCGGCGACGCGTCGCGACGCGCTCCTCTCCTACCGATCCAACACACACCGTCTACCGGCCATTCGTATCGGTAACAGCGCTGTTTGTATCCTCTCCCACGACGTCGAATACGTTACGATAAACCCCTGGTTCTCCCATTAATTTCACCGGGGGGAAAATAACTACCGCTGTTGGAACCGCACTAACTCACACTCTACCGCCATTTTGTCGGCTTCTTCTTCCTCCCGCGGCTCTTACACCAAATGGCCCATGCAAGACGGCGAGAAAAAGAGAACGTTCTTTAAAGAACAGAGTACACTGTGTGTATCTCTCCTTTACTGAGAAAGTAATTTCACGGAAGATGTAACTTGGGTCCCTTTTTGTAAATTTCTCGATTTGTAAGTTTGCAATTTTGAGGACCTTTTAACTGGGGCTGTTAGGGAAATTCGAGTGGGGATTCGGAGTGCTTGAGTTTTGGATTATGCTCAATATCTCGATACGTTGGTTATGTCGCTATTGAAGACTGTACTGCGGATTTTTATGCATTTATGGGGAATTTAAAAGTGCAACATTGCACAGAATGCACGTGATTTGAAAAGGTATACAAAAAATCCAAATTATACTGCTATGATAGCTGGTGGGTGAAATAATTTTCTACCGAAGTTCTACTTTCTTTAGTATATTCTCGAATACATAAATTTGCATAAAAATCCGCAGTCAATTGATGACTAATGCCTTAGAAATAAATATACCTCAAACCATAACACTGAATGTCATCTGCCTTCCCAAAATTATGTATTCGAAAATTCGAATTATCCGAAATTCAAGCACTTCCAAAATCTGAATTACCCGAAATTCAAACACTTGGAAAATTCGAATTACCCGAAATTCAAGCACATCGAAAATTCGAATCATCCGAAACTCGAGCACTTCAATTATTCGAATTATCCGAAAATATAACTTTTTCTCACATAAAAATAAAATCCAAAGGAAAAAAGAGAAGCTCATCTTCCATTACGAACTTGAAATAGCCCACAGTGGATTCTCCTTCGATCGATTTCGATGGAAACGATAGCCGCTGGTCACTTCGACACCACCCACTACGATCTTGATCAGCGATCGCGAAGAAAAGAGAAACGAGGAGCGAAAAGAGCCAACTTATCCATCGATCCTTCTTGCAGTCGACTTCCATTGAAACGGACGGCACGTTGTTTCAATTTGTTAGGCAGCTCAGACGTAATGGCCACATCGTTTCTCTCTCTCTGTCTTATTCCCCGTGATAACATAATATTCCATGACATTTATACGCTTTTATACCATCGACGACATTTCCTGTTACATCTTTTTCCCTTTTTCTATTTTTTCTTTTTTTACAACCACAAAATCAAGTTGTGATTCATTACACTTCCCAACAGACTCCTATCTCTTGTTACCATTTTTCGTGGTACATTTAAATCACCTTTATTTGCAGTTCAATTAAATCCGCCTGTTAATCATAACACGTCACGAGGCGTTTCTCGATCGAGAAATTACCTGTTAAGCGAGTTCGTAGAACAAGAAAAGGCGTATCGATGTCTTGACGCACGAGGCAAACCGGAAGACGTTCCCTCGAGCGTTCGCGCTTTCTTCGAATCGAAGATACATCCTGTCGCTGAAGTTCAATTTCTTTAATTGCATCTAATTATTATTTCTCTCTCTCTTGCTTTTCATTAGACTTCTCGACGTTTCTTGTATCTTAATGTTATAATTTTTATTGGGAAAAATAAGGAACGTCTAGTTAACACGTTGAATGCCGGACCAATTCTACGTAACTTGTCCACGGTGTCGAAAAGAATTTTTTATTCTAATACAACACATTGCAACATGCATAAATAATATATCGATAGTTAGAAATAAAACTATTTAAATATGCTGTGTGATGCATTAGGTGAAAATTTCACGAATACTACCATTTATTCAAATTAAATGCTTTTACTAATTTTGAGACCGCCCCCCATGGCATTCAACGTGTTTAAAAAAAAAAATATATGTATCTTTTTCGTTTTATCATTTTTCAACGTGAAATTGTTCGATTCGCTTTTGCATTCTATAGGTGGAATATAGACCGTGCGTCGTTCCCGGAAGTGCATGGGAATTGATGCGTGAATTTCTGCAAGGTTTTCTCGGTTCCACCGTGTCTAATCAAGCCCCGCAGTATCTACAGGTAATCGAAAAATAATGCGCAACGATAAAATCCAACGATAATGTTTATTCAGAAATTTACATTTCGTCTGTTTGTAGAATCGTATGAACGATATTTATCAGCCATTGGATACGATACAGCAATACTTGGAACACTTCGGTCAGTACAGAAAGGCTACAGGTGTGATTTAAGAGAGTAATTCGTGTATTCTTTCTTTATCGAGCATTTTCAAATACCATTCTAGTGTACCATTTTCGTAGTAATAAATTTCGCTTGGTAACATCTCGTTTATTAATTCCCAAATTTAAGTGTAAACTAAACAAAGCGCTAATTATTAGTTACCATATGTAGATAATTACTATAGCGACGATATCTAAGAGAAATATCGTGAAACTTCTCGAGAAAGTGCATCGACAGAGCTGATCAAAGGTTGCCGTTAACGTAGGATTCTGTAATGATGGTAACAATTCTGACAGTATCTACGTAAAAACACAGACGAATTACAGGATAAACCTAAACCACAGACAACATTCAAACACAAATTAAGTACAAGATAGACCTAACACTTAATTAATATTTTTATGTCCAACGTTCTGAAATACCGATCGAGTAAAAACGTCACGACGCAGCGAGTGTAGGAATTATACACGATCCAACCATCGCAGATGGTAAAATCGACTGATGTAAAAAATCCTTTTTTATTAAGTTTGCACATAAAAATACATACATAAATTAAATTGCGTGGAGAGAACTATCGATGACGTTTCGACTTATTACTACGTTTATTATAATTCACCTTCAACTAGTTCTGCGTAAATCTAATGTTAAGTATCGATACAAATTAGACTTAAGCTACCATATTTTACAATCGCAGCCGATTTGCTCGTATTATTTGCTATAAAATTGCAATTATATATCAAATAATATCGATTGCCCAGGCCTCACCACGTGGAGGTTGCTGCGAATGGAGGCCCGCCCTATCCACACGGTCCCATCCACCCTCCTTTTACGCGCCTACTATTACTTTTCTACTAATTCATGCAACACAACACCTCTCTACTGATTGTACATTTGCAGTACGTTCAAATTTTCGACCGCTATGCAAACGAACAATAGCAGGAGATTGAAAGAAATCGAACTCGAATAAAAATCGTCGGAAAAGAAAGGAAAAAAATACAAAAAAAAAAAAATGTTAAAGGTATCCTATTAATTTAAACTTAAAGTACTTTAAGTTCAGCTTAAACTTATCCTCACATCTAGCTTACAGTATAACTTCACTAGCACTTCACTTAAACTTGGAGTTAACTTAAACCTGATTTAAACTAGGACTGATGAAAGCCTTAATTCTATACGAGATATTAATTTATACATGTATCGTCACTCTGTATTTTCATCAACTACACAAGAATATGTGAAGTAGGAATCTGACCCGTGAAATATTCGAAACACGAAAGAAGAAAATACAAACAAACACGTCAACTTGAGGGGACTGACTGCACACCCGGCTATCTCGGAAAAAAATCAAGCGTTTCTGTTCGAAATTGTTTACAGAAAACTAACGACAGGAAAGCAATTACAATGTTTACAAACTGAGAGCTACCGCCTTAAATACCATGTAACTCGAGCACTGAATTGTCATTAGAGACTTGACTACTTAGATGTTAAAGTCTTAAATATTATTATTAAATTAAAAGTCGCCTACCTGTCTAAGAATCTAACTTAAATTAAGAATCGCCTACCTGTCTAATGATTTAACTTAAATTAAGAATCGCCTACCTGTCTAATGATTTAACTTAAATTAAGAATCACCTACCTGTCTAAAGATTTAACTTAAATTAAGAATCGCATACCTGTCTAATGATTTAACTTAAATTAAGAATCGCATACCTGTCTAATGATTTAACTTAAATTAAGAATCGCCTACCTGTCTAATGATTTAACTTAAATGAAGAATCGCCTACCTGTCTAAAGATTTAACTTAAATTAAAAATCGCATACCTGTCTAATGATTTAACTTAAATTAAGGATCGCCTATTTAAGTAGGAATTTAATTGAATGTTGAAAATGTCCTGCCTCGCTAAAGATTGAACTTGGTTTAAAATTCGCCTATTTAATTGGGAATTTAACTTGATGTGGAAAATGACCTGCCTCGCTAAAAATTTAACTTAACTTAAAAACTGCCTGTTTAATCAAGAATGTAACTTAATGTGGAAAGTAACGTGGCTAATTAAAATTACACCTTCGATTGGAAAACAACCTCCCTAATTAGAAATCTATGTTGCAACACCCTGCCTATTCTAAGAATCTAAAGGGATATAAAGGAGAAAGAAGGGAGATATCGGTATGGTAAGATGAATTGCTCGTATGCTTCTCTGTCACCTGCAACAAACTCAAATTCAAAGAAATTTAGTAGTTAGATTTTACAAGTCACGGTATGGGCATCGTTCACGTCTTCTCTTCCAATAATTTCCTCAGTTTTTGGTAAAGCGAATCTGTAACAAACTCGTTTTTTGTTGGATTAATAAAAGCAAAAATGAAAGTTTAACAGCTGGAAAAAAAGATATTACGTACATATACGTATAAAATATTAATAATTATTATTATTGGGGAATCGAGTACTGTTCCCATAAGGACACAGCTTACATCCGAATGCCTCGATAATAATAATTAAAAATGAAGGTTTAACAGCTGAAAAAAAAAAATATTGTGCACACATCGTACATATATTTTTACGTATTCGTTGAAATAAAATTGATATTAAAAAAAATGAAAGGTACTTTTCATTGTTAGCAATTACTTGGTACACGTTAATAACAAATTATTTCGAAAGTTATTAGAATTTCGCAAAGGAAGAATCTTTGTTAATTGAATTGAAAATTTCTATACGGAATACCAAGATGAAAGAGAAATAGACTAAAATTGTGCACAATTAGTTTACAAGTTATTACTTTCACCGAAGAAAACGTGGAGAGATGTTCCAAATTTACTCTTCATTAGGAATTTAAAACCGAAACAATCGCACAATTTACTACAATTTTATCTATATCATTATCATTTTTTCAATTAGCAACGAGTATGCGACGTCGTACCGGTGATTCCAACATTTCACTACGAATATTACGAGCCAACTACTTTTTACGTAACAAAGTTTCTTTGCAAGCTTTTTACGTCACACACGGAATATGAAAAACATAATCGCGGGTGTACTTTAATTCGTGCAAAGCTATCTCGAAAATTTATAAAAATTCACTGTACTCTACTGTTGCATCAATCGGTATTGCAAATTTGCAACTATTACCGACAGAGGAATCTTACGTAGCGAGAAAAGTAAACTAACTCTAATAACAATTAATTCTTATTTTCTTTTTTTAAGAATTGACCGAGCTTCTACTTGTACTTTCATTCATTATTAATTCTTCCTCTGATATATTCCGATTCAATTCGAGATTCTCAACATCTCAAAGTCACTATTACTTTAAAAATAAATCATCATCGTCGATATCACTTAATATCGTAACTATTAGCAAATTTCTGTTATAACAATTCAACAGTATTTTATGACAAACACTCGGTATATTTCCCAATCCACTCGTTCTAAACCCGAGCAAAAACCGTGAGTGGAATAATTCATTCTTTCACGCAACACTGATCTATTAAATGTATGAAATAAAAAAAAGTCTCAGAATCAAACGCGGTGAGTGCTTCAGTTTACTTGCAATCTTAATTTACGAAAAAAAAAAAGATAAAAAAAGTTACCGTTAAACGCGAGAGCAGCCACGTTAGGGCGCTTTTGGGCAATACGCAACACTAATCGTCTATGCACTCTGTAATTTATAATACGCAACACTAATAACGGGGGATCCACGGCAGTCGTAGTCAGGGCAACTGCCCTGATCTCCTTTGGTGCAGCTCTTTCAGCGACTCCTGAAAAATTTGGGCATTTCGTCGCAACACTAATAAAAGACAAAACGCGTTTATTCGTTTACGCAACGCTATCGTTAAAATTACAGATGGAGTAAATGGACTCTGAATAAATAAAATGAATTTACTCTGAAAAAAAAGAAAAAGATGTTACTTTACTTTAAAAGCAAACATTTACAATTGAATAAAGATTCCAAGTATAAAAATTCAATACACAAGAGCAATCGCGAGTAGCATTTCTTCGCAACTCTAATTTAAAACGCGATACTCGATCAATTCGCAACTCTAACTCAAAACGCGATCTTATTTGATTCGCAACTCTGATGAAAATCGCGACTAGATTTTTCGCAACTCTGATACAAATCGCGTGTAAATTTCTCGCAACGCTAACGCAAACCGTCATCAATCAGTCGCAACGCTAATTCAAATCGCGACAGGGGCGGGAGGGTGGGCGATGTCCAGCTGAAAAACATCCTACAAAATACTACATGTAAGCGAGCACAGTGACAAAGTAGCAACGAGAATGACTCTGCGTCCTATTGATACAGAGTCATTCCCAGTAACCCTCTTCTTTGGCAGTTTGCCGGGTTACTTCGGCTCGTAGCCTCTCCCTTCTCTCTTTTCTCCTGAAACTTAAATCTACGCTCGAGATTCCCTGTATCGTAAAATAAACCATAACATACAAAGGTGAAATAAAAAAGATAAATCGCGGAAGCCGGAAAACTTGGAACACGCAGATGAACACGAGCAATAAATGAATCATTGCAAGTGCATCTACGCCGAACCTCGAGCAAACTATCTTTCCGTTTCGTTTCGAAGGGCCTCAACGTCCGACCGCGAGCGCGGGAAATTCGAAAAATTCGACAAGTGCATCCAGTGGCGAGTGGCATGCTCCACTCGCGCCGGATTCACCTTCGACTTTTCAAATCAGATTTTCCTGAAACAGGTTGAACACAACGGAAAAAAAAATGGGGCCTGCCCGATCGGAGACTGTGTCAACCTGCCCGGCCCTACCTACTTATATTTATCATACACACAGACCAGAAAGTATACTACCTATCCTCCCTGAACCTATATTTAAAAAATGCAAGTCACACATACAAAAACAGACGCTCCACGGTTCTCATACAGACACTTGGGCGCAATATCCTACACTAGAGAGACGTCCCGGGACGCCTCCGACGCCCAAGAGTTAGTCAATCGTTCACACTCTAATGTACATACCATTTTTCCTGAAATCGGCTGACGAAGGATAGCGATCATTGCGATC